CCCGCAGAGCTGGGAGCCCAACATGGGGCTTGATCCCAGGACCCCGGGATCATGACCTGAGCCGAAGGCAGATGCTTAACGACTGAGCCACCCAGGCATCCCTAAACACTGTCCTTTTTTTAAAAAAAAGGATTTTATTTATTTATTTGAGAGCAAGCAAGTGCGTGAGTGGGGGGAGGGGCAGAGGGAGAGGGAGAAGCAGGCTTCCCGCCGAGCAGGGAGCCCATGCAGGGCTCAATCCCAGGACCCTGAGATCATGACCTGAGTTAAAAGCAGACACTTAACCGACTGAGCCACCCAGACGCCCCTAAACACCGTCCTTTTTATTTAAAAAATTCATTCCAGGGGCACATGGCCGGTTCAGTCTTGCTCAGTCAGGAGCAAGCAACTCTTGATCTTGGGGTGGTGAGTTCAAGCCCCATGTTGGGGGAAGAGATTACTTAATTAATAAAAATTTGAAAATAAAAGTTTAGGGGTGCCTAGGTGGCTTAGTCAGATAAGCATCTGGCTTTTAGTTTCGCTCCGCAGTCAGTGGGGAGTCTGCTGGAGATTCTCTCTGTCCCTCTCCCTCCTTTCCCTCCCCCTGCCCTCACCCCCACTCTCTCAAATAAAAGCAGAACAGCCAGGACCTGGTAACAACAGGATTTTTTTTTTAGAAAAAAAAGTTTAAAAATAAATACAAATAGGGCGCCTGGGTGGCTCAGTCGGTTAAGCGGCTGCCTTCGCCTCAGGTCGTGATCCCAGGGTCCTGGGATCGAGTCCCGCGTCGGGCTCCTTGCTCAGCAGGGAAACTGTTTCTCCCTCTCCCTCCGCCTGCCTGCCACTACCCCGCTTGTGCTCACTCTCTCTATCTCCCTCTCTCTGTGTCAAATAAATAAATAAAATGTTTAAAAATAAATAAATACAAATAAAAAATTCATTCCAATTCTTATTAACATATAAGATTTTTTTCAAATTTCAAAATAATTCAACCTAACCTGTTTGCTACTTTCCTTTTGTTGGTGCCCAATAGGTCAAGCCATTGTTACTGCATACATCTACTCTATTCCTAGGGTTCTGTATGTGATAGCAAGTGCTCCAGGCCCTGCATTTTTCAGCTGGGGTCAAAGAAAAAGCAACCAGTCTAGGAAACAATTAAACTCACGAAACTGCAGCATTTTCACAAGTGCAAATCAATTTCTGAGTACTTAAGCTCTCAGTAAATAAACAGAATTAAACAAAAGTAGTTTCTTAGAAGAGAATTTTGAGCTAGGCAATGGAAGAGTTAAATACATGCCTTCATTTAACAAGTATCTATTGAGAGCCTGATCAGCACCAGACCAGACAAGCAGCCAGAAGTGGCCTCCAACTACACAGATCAATGGGGAAGACAAACAAGCAGCCACAGGACAGTCTGCACTGAGTGCTACATTAGGAAATGAGGGGAAGGCACCCCAAGAGCCTTAATGAGGGGTACCTAACCTGTAGGAGGTGGCGAAGAATAGTCATCCTAGGTCTCATAGGCCAATTTAAGGAGTTTGAAACAGCAAAGTGACATCATATCAGACCTGCACTGTAGAAAAATCCTGGCTGCAAAGTCAAGATTGAGTGAACTGAAGAGTCAAGTTGAAGACCAGTTGGGACCAACTACAATCTAAGACAGAGATGATGGTGGCTTTAACAGGTCTTACTAGGTAGCGGCAACAACAATGGTAAGAAGGGGGGAGGTTATACACAGAAGCAGAACAGCCAGGACCTGGTAACAACAGGATGCAGGGCTGAGGGAGGGAGGGAGGGGCCACAGGGACCCCCATACCTTTTTTTTTTTTTTTTTGGCTTGGGACCCTGGGAGGGTGGATGCTGATATTACTCATTGACCCAAGAAACTCTAGAGGGGCAGCAGCTGGGAGGTCAGGGAGGGCAGAAGATACATCCCACTTTGGACTTGTCAGCCATACAAGTGGAAACATCAGCACTGAACAGAAGGTCCTGGAGATGAAAATTCAGAAGCTCTCTGCTCTTAGAGAACAGCTGAAACTTGGGAAGGGAGAGAAGAGCCCGAGAAGCACAAGCAGAGTAAGAGCAGAAGCAAGAACTGGAAGAACATTGCCATTTAAGGAAGGGCCACCTAAGAGTCACCAGCAAAAGAATTAGAAGCAACAGTCAGTATGAGGAGGAAAATCAAGAGGGTGTGGGGTCAAGGAAGCTGAGGGGTAAGTTTCTGGAACAAGTAAACTAGGAAATGGAGTGACTGTAGAGTAATGATCCCATCTCCCCTCCGCTGAACAGGGCCCTTCCCGCCAAGGGAGGCAGTTTTCCAGCTCCTTCATGGAAGCTTATGCACAGGACCTTTCAGCTTTCGACAATGGCAGCTTTGGTGCCAAGTCAGAGGTAGGAATGGGCCCCGGAAAAATAGAAGGGAAAGCAACTCAAATCAGCAAGACAGAAATTCTGACCACCAGCAAACACAACTGCCAGGGAGAAACTTGTCAAATCCCCACAAGGGAAATACCTAAACAGTGTCTCTACTCTTGGCTCCAAAGGCTGATCCTGTTGCACTGGATCTGAGTAGATGGGTAGACTGTACTGAGCTGTGAGCTGGACATATAACAAAGGTATATAACAAAGGTATGCTTACTTAATCCTTGTACCAACCCTCTGGGGGTGGGTGTCATTATCTCCAACTGACATTACCTAGCAAAAGGGGCCTGGTTTATACATAATGCTCAATATGGATTCACTGGATAATCTGACTGGATGAGTAAGAAACCAAATTCAGAGAGAAGAACTAATCAAAGGTGACCCGTTCACAAGTGCTCCATCCAGATGTCAGCCTTAAACTGAGCTGTGGCAAAGTCAGAGCTCATTCAGTGGCCTCCCAGGGCAGCAAGCACCTCAGAGTAAGGAAGGGATCCAAGAGGTACCAAGATAACTATGTTGGAACATGCTGTTGCCGCACCTCCTGCCAGCCCCCAGCCATGTGAGTTTGTGTTCTTCTTCTCAGTGTGCTCATTTACCAGATGGCCCTCAAGGTTCCCTGGAGCCCCTCCCTCTTCCTCAACAAACCCCACTAGAATGGGGGTCCTAACCAGGGGCCCATGGATAGATTTCAGAGTGGCCATAAAACCCCTTAAAACTCTATGTGCATTTTTCCTGGGGAAAGGATCTATGGCTCTTTTCTGATTTTATCATTTTATTCTTCTCAAAGAGAATCACTGCACAGGTCTAGAGGGAGGAGTGGTATGATTTTCCCACCCCTGGCACAGTGCTTAAACTCCTGTAGGTACTCAACAAAGGCTGACTGAATGTTGAAGGACCCAAAGGATGAAAGGTTCAGCCAACATAAGGGCGACCTTTCCCCTCAGGCACTTCCTGACCACCAAATCCCTTCCCAAGGGAAAACAGTTGGTGACTCTTAGAAGACAGGTCCCTCTGGAGGTAAGGACTATGTTGTTCTAGAGCATGGTCTGCCTTCTTTCTTGTACTACATGGACACACAGTAAGCTTCTGAAAGCTTACATGTAAAACTCACATGCCCATAATTTTGAGACACTCAGGGACATTTTAAGGACAGGATTTTAAGTTATATTAAGGGATTACTAATGTTAGGTATGACAACAGCATTGTAGTTATGTTTAAAATGTCATTTTCTTAGAGGTACATATAGAAGAATTTAGGGGTTAAGTGACAAGAAATCTGCCATTCATTTAAAAATCTTACAGCTGGAAAAACAAAGGAGGGGGAGGGGAGGGAGACAAGCAAAGCAAGTGTGGCAAAATGTCTATAACTGGTGAATCTGGGTTCATAATGTTATTCTGTTTTTGGATTTTTTAAAACTTAGTATGGTTTTAAAAAATAAGATGTCTCAGGGCGCCTGGGTGGCTCTGTCATTAAGCGTCTGCCTTCGGCTCAGGTCATGATCCCAGGGTCCTAGGATCAAGCCCCGCATCGGGCACCCTGTTCCGCGGGAAGCCTACTTCTCCCTCTCCCACTCCCCCTGCTTGTGTTCCCTCTCTCACTGTGTCTCTCTCTGTCAAATAAATAAATAAAAAATCTTAAAAAAAAAAAAATAAGATGTCTCATTTGTGCTGATGGCTACAAAATTTAACCATACAGTTTTAATGGTCTTAGTGGCCATGTCCTAAATAGTCACAAAATTTGCTCTCTTAGAAATAAGAATCCACAGCCCCTGCTACTTAAAACATGAAGGTTTTCAGGACAACTTAGCAATTACCTTAAGGCTCCCTCATCTCTAACTATATAAATGAGTAATCATATACCTCCAATCCTCAGGTGAATGCACATAGAGAAATCAGGCACCCAGCAACAAGAAAGGTGCAAGTCAACTGTAATAAATGTGCCACACTACCACCAAGATATCAGTAATACAGGAAACTGGGGGGAGAGGGCGTATATATAGGATTTCTCTATACTTTCTCTTCAATCTGTCTTTAACACTGCTCTAAAAAATGAAGTTTATTAATTTTTTTAAGTGAAGGTACCGAGAGAAGGAGAAAGAGACTTTTTCTCTTCATTTTTTTTTCATTTTTCTTTTCGTTCTCTTCTGTATCTGTATTCTGATTTTTCTTCTTTATCACTTGGGTTTTTAAAAAAACGTCATCCTGGGTATTAAGCCAGATCTTCTAAGTAAAGTTCATATCTGTGGCAGTGATAAAATGTGTGGTTTTAAGATTAGTTTGAAGTGGGGGAGACTGGGTGGCTCAGTTGGTTAAGCAACTGCCTTTGGCTCAGGTCATGATCCCAGGATCCTGGGATCGAGTCCCTCATCGGGCTCCCGGCTCAGTGCGAAGCCTGCTTCTCCCTCTGACCCTCTCCCCTCTAATGCTGTTTCTCTCTCTCTCTCTCAAATAAATAAAATAAAAAATAAAAAGATTAGTTTGAAGTGAAAGGACTACTAAGATGTTCCTTTGTGTTTTTGCTTTTTACTTGTTATTAGTTTGGTAGGTTTTCAACAACAGCATTAGAACTATTGTCTACTTTACTGTCTACTCCATCCACTTCCACATTTAAAAGAACTATGTGCCAGTCACTGTGCAAAGTACCCTATATATATCACAAAAAGTACCCTACAGATATTCTCACAAAAACACTGCAAAGTAATATCCTCAATACATAGATGGAGAAATTGAAGCTTAGAAAGCTAAGTAATTTGCCTTAAGTCAAACAGGACAGGCAGGATTCAGTTCTAATGCTAGTACTCTGGAGATGAACCATCAGAGACGATGGACTCTGAAAAACAAACTGAGGGTTCTAGAGGGGAGGGTGGGCGGGAGGATGGGTTCTGCATGGAGCACTGGGTGTTATACGCAAATAATGAATCATGGAACACTACATCAAAAACTAATGATGTAATGTATGGTGATTAACATAATAATAAAAAATAAAAAATAAATGAAGCTAGTACTCTGAAATGCTGTGCTATGCTACATCCCTTTCTTCCCTTTTCCTACTCTATCAGAAAGGCACTTGGTGGGGCACCTGGGTGGCTCAGTCGGTTAAGTATCTGCCTTCAGCTCAGGTCATGATCCCAGGGTCCTGGAATCGAGTCCCGCATCGAGCACCTTTCTCACCAGGAAGCCTACTTCTCCCTCTGCCTGCCGCTCCCCCCCTGCTTGCGCTCTCTCACTCTCTCTCTCTGACAAATAAATAAAATCTTTAAAAAAAAGAAAGAAAGAAAGAAAGTCACTTGGAAATATCTCAGGACCTGCAAAAATGCTAAAGTCAATACAATAGTTAGAAATGACAGCAAAGTCCTTTCCACAACATATTTTCATTCCATGCTTCCAGTGTGGCCACTTTTAGCTCTGTGACACTGGTCAAGTCACTTAACTTCTTTGACTCTTAGCTGCTCCATATCCAAAATGGTAACAAGTGATAACATAGCTGTTAAGAGCTAGAACTCTAGCACCAGACTGCCCTGGATTCCAGGATTCTACCACTGACCAGCTGTATGCCCTTGGGAAAGCTGCTTAACCTCTCTGTGCTTCAGTTCCTCCAGCTGTAAAATGGAATAACAGTACCTACTTCATAGAGTTGTTATGAAAAGTATACAAATTAGTAACTGTGAAGTGTCTGGCACAAAGTAAGTGCTACGTGTTTTTAAAAATAAGTATTTAAAGTTATCAAAGGGTTACTGTGAAAGCACTATAAAAACGTACAATATTATTACCTACAGAAATTGTGATTTGAGAAAACGAACTTATCCTTTAAAAAAAAAAAAAAGACAAATGGCCCAGAGGAAAGTAAGGGTAACAGATTTGCCCACCTGGTTTAGAGTGCTGGCACAGTCGTCCCCCCACTGTTTGACCTTACAAAGAAAAGTACTTAAAAACTTGACTCCAAGCTTCAGCTTCCTTACTACAGGGTTAAATCTACCTCCAAAGTTGCTGAGAGAATTATCATCACTGAAGTACCTGGCACAAATTAGGGACCCTGCGCCAGTTCTCTTCCTCTCGCCCCCCAGATCTTCCATCTAACAGCTGCTCATTATGAGTAAGGCTCACAAGCGAATGGGACCAAAATAAAAAGCCCGCACAAAACCCACTTTCATCTCTGGGCTGTCCATTTATAGGTGCAGTCCATCGCGAGTCTCCAAATTTCTTTCAAAGGTAGTTGAAAATCAGGGGCGCCTGGGTGGCTCAGCCGTTAAGCGTCTGCCTTCGGCTCAGGTCATGATCCCAGGGTCCTGGGATCGAGCCCCGCATTGGGCTCCCTGCTCCGCGGGAAGCCTGCTTCTCTCTCTCCCACTCCCCCTGCTTGTGTTCCCTCTCTCACTGTGTCTCTCTCTGTCAAATAAATAAATAAAATCTTTAAAAAAAAATGTAGTTGAAAATCAAAACCGAAAGACTCTCATCCTGAAAAATCACAGAGGAAGTGCAGGAATCACACCCTGACTGGGAAAACAGGAACACAGAAACGGCCGAATCACTTCGGAGACGAAAAGGAGCGAGAGGCGAAGAAACAATCCTGGTGCGCGTTTTGGGCTTGTTTTGTTCATTCTCTAGCTGAAGTAATTTTTCATCCAGGCCGAAGGCATGACAAACCCCGACTGAGGGGGAGGCAGGGCGTGCTAGGGACACTCGTGCTCAGGGCAAGAACGAAGCGCGCTTGAGTTCAGTAGCCTCCTCCAGGAGCAACCCGGCCCGCGGCCCCTCCCTCCCCACGGCTCCGGCCCCACCCCCAGCCCTGAGGACCTGCTCGGCAGGAACTCCGGCGTTCTCACCTGTGCGGCGTCCACAGAGTAGCCTCTCCCGGGGCAGGGGCCCAGGAGCCCCAACGACGCGCGCGCTGCCCGCCACCAAAGGCCCGGCGCCGCGCGGACCGCCGCGAGATAGCGGAGAACAGCCATTCAGCCTCCCGTCGCGCGCACGTGCAGACAGCGCCAGCCCGGGTCCGTGGCCCCCGCCCCCGCCGCACAGCCAATCAGCAGCCGAGGAGCGCTCGGGCCGGGCGGCGCCCGAGGCGTTTCGGGAGTTGTAGTCCCACATCCGTGTCCCGGAGCCCGGCCGGGCGCTAGGCATGTTAGGCTCGGGGTCTAACAGGGCTCTGAGTTGAGCAGGGCGCGGGATCAAGCCGGGCGCTGGGGGAGGCTGGGGCCGGGACCGGGAACCGGCCGGATGCAGAAGGTTCTTGCCCGGCGAGCCAGGGATGAGGGGTGGAGGGTGGGGCGGGTGAGGTTCCTGTTGGAGGGGAGAGAGGCAGGCAAGGTCCCGCCTCTTAGTAGACGGAGACTTCAGGTACGCAGGCCAGTATGCATGGACTCTGTACCTGCGGACTTCCTGGAACATGCGTTTCTGACTGAAGTCGCAGCTCCCTCAACCCTCAGAGACTGTCAAGGAGAAGGAACTAATATTTACTTGCGGGGGGGGACGGAGGAGCAAAGCTTTCTTTTGATGTTCCAGTGCCCTGAACCCCAGTCAATCAAGGAATACTTGTAGGATACCAATTAATCATTCTTGTAGTCTTTCAGTAAATATTCTCTATGGTCCTCCTTCCTGCCCAGCTCTGTGCTAACTCCTGGGTAGACTGTATACATAAATAATCCCGCAAACTCACACTTTGTAGGGAGGTTGAGACAGGACTATAATACAAGGTAAAAAAATAATTGTCCCGAAAGAGGGAAAGCACAGTTGTTTCCACCGTTTGAAATGTTTAAGATGCCCCCTTTCAGACCCTTTGACCTGTCCCTGGATATAGTTATACTAAGAATGGCTGAGCCTACAATATATTTAGCACTAGGTGAGAGGAAGCAAGGTGCGGGTCAGGGATGGGCAGAGACCCTGCCAACTCAAAGATTAGTGAAACCCTTAGATCCTCAACGTTGAAGGCCAAGATCTTAATTTTGTCAATTCACCTGCAACTGAGCAGGATCTGGCAGACTGATTCACATTAACCAGCCTACAATAGCCCAACACCTCAACCCTGCCAGGGGACATGGCTTTCCAAGATTGAAATGTTCTCAATCTCTTCCTGCTATCAAACTACCTGGAAATTGCTTTAGTAGGTAGAAGGTTTCTTGGTGTAGTGATTTTAAAATATATCCACAATTTGACAATCCTCTACTAAAAAGGTAGCATTAATTCCACTCCTGTTGAGTGTGGGCTGGACTTAATAACTCACTTCTCCACACCCAGCATAGAGCCAAAGTGGGGCCTGAACTCATCCCTGAGATCAAGACCTGAGCTGAGAGGCACCTGGGTGGCTCAGTCATTGGGCGTCTGCTTTTGGCTTGGGACATGATCCCGGGGTCCTGGGATCGAACCCCACATCGGGCTCACTGCTCAGTGGGAAGCCTGCTTCTCCCTCTCCCACTACCCCTGCTTGTGTTCCCTCTCTCACTGTGTCTCTGTCAAATTAATAAATAAAAATCTTAAAAAAAAAAAAAAGACCTGAGCTGAGATCAAGAGTCAGACACTCAACCGGCTGAGCCACCCAGGTGCCCCAATAACTCACTTTTAACAAATAAAATGAAGGGGCGCCTGGGTGGCTCAGTTGGTTAAGCGACTGCCTTCAGCTCAGGTCATGATCTCAGGGTCCTGGGATCGAGCCCCGCATCGGGCTCCCTGCTCGGCGGGAAGCCTGCTTCTCCCTCTGATGCTCCCCCTGCTTGTGTTCCCTCTCTCGCTGTCTCTCTCTCTGTCAATTAAATAAATAAATAAAATATTTAAAAATAAAATAAAATAAAATGAAGTAGAAGTGACACTGTGATTTCCAAGGCTACGCCATAAAAGATAATGTGGCTTCCACCTTGCCCTCGTTTGTCTCACTCATTCTGAGAAAGTCAAATACCATGTTGTTAGGACACTCAAGAACTCTCTGGAGAGACCACAGGATAAAGACCTGAAGACTCCCGCCAACAGTCATGTGAGAGAACTATCTTGCAGGCAGATCCTCTAGCCCTCATACACATCTTGGCCAAAACCTCATGAACAACCCAAAGACAAAACTACCCAGCCGAGTCACTCTTGAATTTCTAACCCTCAAAAACCAGGAGATAATAAATGTTTGTTGTTGTAAGCCAGTAAGTTTTGGGGTAATTTGTTGCACAGTAATAGATAACTAATACACTCAAAGATCAAAATTATATCATCATCATGGCTATTTCAGCTCCAGAGGTTCTCAGCCTGGGTCAGTGTGTTCTGGATCTGGATCAGCCCTGCTTTCAATCTTCCCCAGCTGTGGTCTGAACTCCATAAAACAGCAGCTGTCCCTAGCAGGAATCAGAAGCAGGCTGGTTTGTTTCAGGAAAGGTGATGGAATAGGTGTTTCTGGGAGGTTCCACTCTGGTTATTGTAATTAATACTCTGTGTGTATGTGTGTAGTTGTGTGCATTTATTTTTATTTTTGTGTGTGTGTGCCTGTGTGTTTAAATATTGATAAGTCCTCCTTAGATTCTCTAGGGCTTCTTTGTTTTGTTGTAAAGATTTTATTTATTTATTAGAGAGAGAGAGAGAGAGAGAGAACAAGCATGGGGATCAGGAGAGGGAGAAGCAGGCTCCCCACTGAGCAGGGAGCCCAATTCGGGGTTTGATCCCAGGACCCTAGGATCAGTGACCTGAGCCAAAGACAGACACTTAACTGACTGAGCCACCCAGGCGCCCCCACTCTCTAGGGCTTTTTAAGCCAGAAAATATTAAGAACCATCTATAACTAGAAAAATCCTGAGAGCAAGGTCCCTCTCTGATTTGTCTTCGTCTTCCTCATAGGTCCTATCATGGTGACTTGCACTTGATGAGTGCTCAATTAATATGAGTAGGCAAATGAATGAATACACATACTCCTACTATCCCTCTAAACTTGCTCACCTCTGCTTGTATGTCCACGTGTGTGCGTAAGCCTGCTCATCCCTACGCACATACTTTGTGTTAGTTAGGACTATGATCGGCTCTAAGTAACAGAAACCTCCAAAGACTAGTGGCTTAAATAAGATCTAAATTTGTTTCTTTCACATAAACAAAGTTGGGAAAGAACAATAAGGCTTGGTATTGTGACTCCACCAACTTACTAGGTACCCAGGCTCCTATTTTGCTCCTTGCCTGTCTTCACTGCACAGCTTCCACTTCATGGTCCAAGATAACTGCTCAGGCTCAGACATTATGTTCACATTCCAGGTATCAGGAAAAAAGGCAAAAAGGCTATGCCATCTCCCTATAGATACGATTCCCAGAAGTCTTACACGGGCATGCCTCTTTCTATTGCACTTCACAGATACTGCATTTTTTACAAATGGAAGGTTTGTGGCAACCCTGCATGGAGCAAGTCTCTTGATTCTATTTTCCCCCAACATTATTTGCTCGTTTCATATCTCTATGTCACATTTTGGTATTTCTGGAAATATTTCACAATTTCTCATTATTATTATATTTGTTATGGTGATCGGTGATCAGTGATTAGGACTTGCTCAAAGCTCAGATGATGGTGAGCATTTTTAGCAATAAAGCATTTTGTAATTAAGGTATATTGGTTTTGGGGGCACCTGGGTGGCTCAGTTGGTTAAGC